TCACAGAATTTACAGAAAATGTTACATTTTTGTGATTTATATCGTTATCGGGACGATAGAATTCTTATCGGGATATGAGATTCTGGTCATATCGCACAGCCCTAGTATAAACCTCCTTTTTCCTGTGCTGAACATCTCAGCCTCATGTCTGAACGAGTACTGTGGTTTCTTTCTTTTTTTTAAATGCCCGAGAGCAACTTTCAATTTTAATTTGTTGGATTTAGTCACAATGTCACATCTCTACAACTTCAATTATTTTTTTTGGTTGTCTGGCTACATTTAATATGATTTCATTCAACTTCTTTTTTTCCTTTATTCTGGTAGAATAAACCAAGCGTGTTTCAGCCTGTCCATTCTCACACATTATTATAAGGCCGGGCTTTTATTCCCTTGCGGACGCCACAGATGAGTAGTTGTTCTTATTATATTTGTAGACCTTAGCTTGAAGCCTGCATGTGCTGCTGGTGCTCTTATACTGTGCAGAATACACAGTATACTGTCTGTACAGTCATAACAAATTGAGGGATACAGCGTGTGTAGGTTCACCTGCCGTTTCATAACACAGTGGTTTTTAGGGCAATTTTTTTAAGTCTTCTTCAGAGAAAATCTTTTTTTTTTTTTTTTTTTTATCGGGTTGTCCGGTAACTCTCTCCTTTCACTATAGTGTAGTGTTTGTCTTGGCTGGCTTGTTAGACCTACCGAGATCCGTGTAGTTTGTATTACAAAACTGCCTTCTTCCACCAAAGCAGATGTCAAAGGGCAGCTCATCAGGTTGCCGTAGTTTCCCACCATTATCGATGGCTGCGAAAGCATCTTCCATGTTGTAGAAAGTAACGAAGGCATAGTGGTCACTGTGGGAACCAAAGATGTTGAGTTTAATGGTGACCCATTTCACTGTAAAGCCAATAAAAAACGTGTTAAACTGTAATGGTGCATGCTTACCCCCTATCTCTGAAGTGAAGTGACACACACTCCACCTCTCCAAACTGAGAGAAGCGTTCTCTCAGTTCATCGTGAGTCATGGACTTGCGGATGCGGCCGACGTACACCACCCGGCGCTCGTCCTGTGTGAAAGAATTAAATGCGATATAGTTACCGCCCACTGGAAAAGTAAAAAAAAAAAATCAGTAGATCAGATGATTTTTACTCACTATGGCTTTCAGTTTCTGAATCCTTATCTCGTGCTCTCTCCTGAGCTTCCTGGACTCTCTGCTGCTGCACGGACGAAGAAAATGGGGAGTGAGATTTTGCTCCCACTGAATGTGTCAGTTATCACATAAAATCAGGGGCAACGAGAAGTCAGTGCGATTGTTCCTTATGTCAAAAGTTCGCACTAGTTCTCTTTGGAAGTTAGCAGTGACTGCACTGTATCTGAACTGGATGGTTACAGCTCATCAACAATATTCACTGACCTGCAAAAGTCTCTCCACCGCTTACGGCATATTTGTGGAGATGGCGACCGGGACCGGGATGTGGACCGGGACCAAGATCTGGACCGTGATCTGCTGTATCTTGGTGTGCAGCACCCTGACCTGTACCGCCGAGGAGGGGATCGGGACACGGAGCAAGAGGGGGACGATGAACACGAGCTGCTCTCTGAACGCTTGCGATGGAGCCTGCAAGATCAACATATTGTAGCCACAAAAGGCAAAAGCTCA